TAAGCGTTAGGGTTAGGGTTAGGGTTAGGTTAAGGGTTAGCGTTAGCGTTAGGTTTAGCGTTAGGTTGTTAGGGTTAGGGTTAGGTTTAGGGTTAGGTTTCGGGGGGTTAGGTTTAGGTTTAGGGGTTAATTTTAGCTTTAGCGCTCACAGCGTGCTTTTTTCGTCGTGCTGTGATGACATCAGGTACGCGGTTTCGTCAAGCGTGCTTTAGTCGACCGCGGTTTTGTGGTGGAACCCTTAAGGCCACCAGGAGATAAATCCTACTGCAACATTTACAACATACCTGCAATGTAAGCAGCAGACCTAAAGCAATTATAATCCAGGAATATACATCTCCTTCTTCTATACACATTCAATCACTTTCTGATGAAGGCACCTTCAGTGTGATCACTGGGACTCCTTTTGACAATTAGCACTGATGAGTGTCAGAATAAGACTCTGTATTAGGTCAATGGTTGCCTACAACTCATACCACAATTTTTTTTTTTTTGCAAAGCTCTTAATATAAAACAAAACCATTGCTTGCGACATAAAATAATCACCACATAAGGGATGCTCAGATTGATGAACAAGAGGAGCATAATTCCTTCCTTGTGAGATCAAAGATAATGACTATAGGTAGTTGTTAACTTACAACCAGTTGCTTAGCAACTAATTGAAAATGCAACGGACCTCCACGGGGGACTTACAACCGAGTTCCAAAGTTCCAATTGCTGTTCCCCCCCTCCTGCCTGGTCTCATGACTGCATTTCAGATCCTTGACAATAGCCATTTACAGCATCATATGATCACACTTTGGTGAAAACCGGCATTTACGACAAAACTGATGAAAACTACGGGTTTGCTTACTGACCATAGCATTTGCTTAACGATTGCCGCAAAACAGATCATAAAATCAGGTTGAACGTTTGGGTGACTCACTTGATGACTGTCACGACTTACAACAGTAATGGGCGGCCTCCCTTATGGTCGTAAGTCAAGGACTACCTGTGGTAATTGGCAACCTCCCCGCCTTTCCGTCCATGGTAAAACCTTCCAAACTGTCCCGAGGTGGGCTGCTGCCGGTTCGCCCCGGATCAGGCGAACCGGTTAGTGGGGGCAGCAGGAGGCTCTCCCCATCCGACCGGATGCTTCTGTGCATGCACGGAGCAAACTGGTAGTAAAATAAGTTGCAACCCACCACTGAACCTGTCTGTGTGCATCAAGAAAGATTGCTGGCTGGACTGAAAAGAAGTAATTAAGTCCCCAGGCAGCCTATTAAGATGTAATCGGTGAACAATAGTTTTGGCTTCCTAGCATCACCATCTTTCAAAATAGATTTTGCCTTACATTCTGTTAAGTTTTGAAAGGCTGGCAAGCTCAGGAAACAAGAAGCACTTGGATTTCGGGAAAAAAGGCAGATTCTCGGAAACCTGCTGGAGCAATTCTCTAGCTCAACTTGTAGCAAAATTAAGGTGGAGTTATTCGTAAGTCTCTTTCTCCTATCTCCTCCCTACCCTGGATTTAAAAGTCCATTGTGTAATTGCCCCGTTTCCTCTCTTAATTGTCTCCTCTGTATTCCCAAAGCCAGTTAGGCATTTCATCACACCTTCAGACAACAACTCATCCCACTCCATCTGCTGCACCTGGATAGTTCTTAACCGGCTCCTTTATTACTCCCATAAGAGTTTTTAAAGATCGGCCTTTATAGTTCCAAAAGTGCTTTTCAAAAGGCAGCTGGACTTCCAAGGGCAAAAAAAACACCCACGAGAAAGTCCATTTGTCTTTTGAAAAGCATCTTAGCAACAACCACGATCTGGATGATTGAGAATCTGGACGATTGAGAATCTCCATAGACAATCAACCTTTATGGCTGGTCCTCCGGGACAGAGTAAATAAGAAGTATACGTTGCCTATCACTGGAACAACATCTGTCCCTGTACATACGGGCAATCCTCGAGTTATGACCACAACTGATCCTAAAACTTCCATTGCTAAGCAAGATTAAGTGAATTTTGCTCCATTTTATGACCTTTCCTGACACAGTTGTTAAATGAATCGCTGCAGTGGTTAACATGTTAGTAACACGGTTGTTAAACAAATCTGGATTCCCATTGACTTTGCTTGTCGGAAGGTGACAAGAAGATGATCGCACAACCCTGGGACATTGCAATCGTCATAAATACATGCCAGTTGCAAAGTGTCTGAATTTTGACCATGTGACCCCAGGGACATTGCAAAGGTCATAATTGTGAAAAAAGGTCATAAGTCACTTTTTTCAGCTCCATTGTAACTTTAGTTGTAAGTTGAGGACTATCTGTAATTTCAGGCAACCCTCCACCAACTACAGATTCTCAATTTATGACCGGCCACTTAGATCATTGATCATTGATCATTACAACGTGCGGTGAGGTTTATGGCTGGTGAGGCAAGCGGGCAAAAGCTGCCCTATGTTGGACACAGCGCCGGGGCTTTCCGAAAGCCCTGCCGCTGTGTCCGACATTTCGGAAAGCCCTGGCGCTGTGTCCGCCATAGAGGCGGGATGCCTCTATGTCAGACATAGTGGCAGGGCGGCTGTTGCCTCTAGCGCCGGGGCGGCAGGGCGGCTTTTGAAAAAACCGCCCTGCCGCCCCGGCGCTAGAGGCAACAGTCGCCCTGCCACTATGTCTGCCATAGTGGCGTCCCGCCTCTATGGCGGACACAGCTCCGGAGCATCCAAAAGCCCTGCCACTATGTCCTAAAGCCCTGCCGCTATGTCCAAAAGCCCTACCGCTATGTCCAAAAGCCCTGCTACTATGTCCAAAAGCCCTGCCGCTATGTCTGACATAAAAAAAGTGCCAGCCCGTGCGCCAGCAGAGGCGGGTAAAACACACATACACACACAAACAAAAATTACTTACAATAATACAATTACTTACAGATTACATTAATTTTGAATTCCTCCCCCTGTAAAAGGAAAAAGGCAAGAGCTGCTGAGGTCAGGCTGGGTTAGCTGCTGCCAGAGTCTCCAATGGATGACTCTGTTTAACTGTTTAAAAAAGCCTCTAAAAAACGCCCTCTACAGGAGGAGGCGAAAGAACCACATGCCTCATCTACATAAGGAATTTTTTGGCTTTTAACCCTT